CTCCAACTCCCCTCAATTCTTCTGGTAATGTTGTTTTGCTAGAGTAGTAATCACTCAAATGTGATGAATAGCAAAGCAAATGTCATACCTCAGAACTGTGTAGATGCATTAAAGAACCCTTTAGAAGGAGTTTGTAAGGCAGTCAGATTTTGAGAACCTCATTTATTTCAATGATTAGTAAAGACCAAAAATAGTTGGGTTATCTTCCTGTTTAAGAAGAGGGTTCCTTATTCCATTTACTTCATTGGAGAGGTAAATAGTCATGATAGTTTTGAACTTATGACTGATTCTATGCACTTGGCCATCGTCATCCCCAAACACACAGGTTTCTACAGATATTCAATTATATTTAATCACTCTTTTCAAAATCTGTGAACTCAATTCAGGATTATAGGAATACATCTATCTTCATCCACAGCTTAAGTTGCCCCTTGTTCCAAGTTGTTGAGAAAGTGATATGAGGGATTTTGTCAGATAAGATTACTCTCATCATTTTTATTCTACTAAGTGCCTCCACTGAAAAGATTTGAGTGGAAAGGGGAGTAGACAGTAATTCTTGGATTGGCACAGCTCTCAAAATATGACTCACTTCTCCACCATTCCTCTATCACTAACCCACTGACATGCTGAGAAATTCAAGTAATCACTCTTGAGACTGGCCAAAGAAAAACACAATAATGAGCAACTGGCTACTGAAAGGTCACAAACAGTAAACCTTTCTTGCTGTGACTTAAATGGGTGGAGCATATTACTAAATATTTCCTATCTTCATTTTTAACCACACTGAAATCCATAGAGTAACTTTTAATGAGGTCGATAAATCATAGAAAAATCATTCCATAATTACCTTAAAATAGTATCAAATTTGGGATTTTAGGTGACATAGACATTGCCAAATTCAGAGCCTTTTTCACTATAGATGTCACTGTCTTGCCATTCTGAAAGAGATTTCTATATCTTTGAGTTGACAAAAGACGGTTGCATCCTTTAGAACAGTGATTCCCAAATATTTTTTCTCCTTACCAAGACACACATGAGGGATAATATTCAAAATTTCCCCCACCCCATGAGTCCCAATCGTTCCCTAAGACCTGCTGCATGAATAAAAGAGGTCGCCACCTATGCTTGCATCTAAGCCTCTGCTCAGTGGAATACCACTCCTTTCTCTTCTACTGATCTAGATGTGAGGTGAGAATTACTGACCTAGATGATATCTACAAAAAATACAAGTAAGGTCAATCTAATATATACTTGAAAGAGGGGCCACCTATAGGAAAGGATTTCAGGGGCATTGGGAAATCCCCCTTGTGTATGAGGTATTACAAGCCTTTGTTTAAAAGCAAAATAGGCTGTCAGCAGAGAGGGCCTAGAAGCAACAACTCCCCAGTAGCAAAGAGCACACCTAGCACCCAAATCTTGGTGTCTAATATCATTCTTCATTAAAAGGAATCAAGGGTCCTTGGGAAAATGGCTGATTCTAGGACTGGGGCCAGGGAATATATAAGATAAGCCTGGGGCTTCCCTGGTGGCGCAGTGGTTGAGAGTCCGCCTGCCGATGCAGGGGACACAGGTTCGTGCCCCGGTCCGGGAAGATCCCACATGCCGCGGAGCGGCTGGGCCCGTGAGCCACGGCCGCTGAGCCTGCGCGTCCGGAGCCTGTGCTCCGCAACGGGAGAGGCCACAACAGTGAGAGGCCCCTCTACCGCAAAAAAAAAAAAAAGAAGAAGAAAATAAAAAGATAAGCCTGGAACATCTTAGAGTGCTGAAATATAAGAAAATACTAAACAAACAAACAGACAACAACATAAAACAATGAGGAGGTTATGTCAGAGGGACAGATGTACCAACTGAAAGAGCTCCCAGTGGTCAAAGGTGGATGAATTTGACCCAGAAAATACAATTGCATTGAATTATTACCCAATGTATAATATAAATATCCATGAGTCCATGGTGATATAAATAAATGATTGAGTAAATAAATAAATGGGAGAAAAAACCAAATATTTCATGCAGAAGAATTCTAAATAATTTTATGTAGATACATTGGTCTTAATGAAGTGGAGCGTAACTACCACTCCGTATATATGGACTGTGAATAACTACTTTCTTCCAAAGAGTGCAATTTGAAAAGGGAGTGAAGAAAGAACAACTTTATAGTGGAGAAAGACAAATACTATCTTGAGCCAGAGATCAAGGTCAATATCAACAATGGAAAAGCATACTGATACTCCATATCCTTGTTATGATGTGATGAAAATAGTATTGTATCTCTGTGTTCTTTCTCCCCAAAACACATTACCCCAGTATAAACATGAAAAAAATCAGATAAATCCCAATTGAGAGACATTCTACAAAATATCTGAATAGTACTACTCAAACTGTCAAGGTCATCAGAAACAAGGAGAGTCTGAGAAACCACCACGGCCAAAAGGAGCTTAAGGAGACATGACGATCAAATGCAAGGTGGGGTATCCCAGATGGAATCCTGGAACAGAAAAAGGGCATTAAGGAAAATCTGAGGAAATCTGAATAAAATGTGGACTTTAGTTAATAATGATGTATCACTATTGGTTCATTACTTGTAACAAGTGTATCACAGTCATGGAAAATGTTAATACTGGGGGAATATGGGTGTAGGGCATACAGGAACTTTCTGTATGATCTTTGCAATAATTCTGTAAATCTAAAACTGTTCTAAAATTTAGAAGTGTATTTAAAAGCAAATTGGGAGTTTTAATTGCAGCACTTTTTATAGGGACAAAAGCACTGGAAACAAAGTATATGCACATCAATAATGAAACGATTGACTAAATTGTGGTATCATAGACTATTAAACAACACAGAATATTATCTACTGAAAAGGATGAGTGAGCTCTCTATCAATTGACTTGTAAATATTTCCACTATGTATTTTTAATAAGGAGAGAAAATGCATGGAAATATGTAACTCTTTTTATTTTGTAAAACAGTGAGGAGAAATCCCCATGTAGATATACTTGTATAATTAAAAGAATAAGGGAAAGGTATGCAAGGATACACACTATATTGTTAGCATTTCTCAGGGTAGGGCAATGGGTGAGTGGAGAGGAAGGAAGAAAGGAGAGATAGCCAGACTGGGGAAATAAGCAGGGCAGGGGAAGTAAGCAGTAATTAATTCAATAATTCATTATAAGTATAGCACCTGTATATAGTAGGCTGATGCTCTACAAATAAAATTTTAAATTTGTGAAAACAAAACAAACAGAGCAAATGGAATAGGGGGAGGAAAAGAGATCTATTTTAGATTGGCAGGATTTAATGAGGGTGGGAATGAAGAGGGTGTAAGCAGGGAGAGAGTAGCAGAACTGTAAAGAACAGAGTGTCAGACAGTGGAACCGAATTACACCCACTTCTCATTTCTGCCAAGAGCTGTCCAAGGAGGTGAAAATACTGATTATTGCTAAGGGTGTGATCAGAATGATTGCTATTTTTGCCAATATCCTGGGGCTTTTGCCCACCGCAAAGAGACTAAACTTCTCCCCCAACACTTCCTCCCAATATACATACAAAAGTCATTCTTAGAGCATCAAGGAGGTTCTCTATTTATATACCACCTTGTTCTCCTGCCCTTTTGAACAATGAGGCCACACCAGGGGCTTCCAAGTGCTTTTGATGAAGAGGTGACATAGCTTTGACATCAGACAAAGTCCACAGGAAACAAAAATGGAAGGGTCTGCATTTCCAAGAAGGTAAAATCAAACAGTAGAGTGAAGGTCCCTGGTGAGCAAGATCAGACACTTCTAAAATGGCAGTATTGAAGAGTGGTTTAAAGGTCACCTCAGCTACTTACTTCAACACCTAATGCAGTCTCTATCTGAGATTTGAGATCCTGCATCCTGACACTGGGATGGAGTGGGGAGGAAGGACATACTGTGGAATTGCTGGGGATAAAACAGACTGCTTTTCACTGTAAATTTCTTGCAAGTAGGAACTGTGTCTGTGGTATCTTCCCAGAATAGTATATAGGAACACAGGATGACCATGTGCTTATAGGGTCCCACGTTGAATATTTAGATACAGTAGACTCAAATTCACATTGTAAATCCCATGAAGAATTTCACCAGAAGCATTTGAAGCTATTTTCCATCAATAAGAAAGGAAAGACCCTGACCTAAATGATACTTTAGGTCATTTTCATAGCCAGATATGCAAAAACAATTTTTAATACAGATATTCCTGTACTAACAATTAGGGTTATGTCCCGATAAACCCCTAGTAAGCTGAAAATATCTTAAGTCAAAAATGCATTTAATACACCTAACCTACCGAACATCATAGCTTAGCCTAGCCTACCTTAAATGTGGTCAGAACACTTACATTAGCCTGCAGTTGGGCAAAATTATCTAATTAAAAGCCTATTTTATAATAAAGTATGCATATTTCATGTAATTGATTGAATACTATACTAAAAGTGAAAAAAGGAATGGTTGTATGGGGACAGAGTGATTTTAAGTGTATCAGTTGTTTACCTCATGATCACGTGGCTGACTGGGAGCTGCAGCTTACTGCCTGCCACTGCCCAGCATTATGAGATAATATCATACTGCATATTGCTAGCCTGGAAAAAGTTCAAAATTCAAAATCCAAAGTGAGGTTTCTACTGAATGTGTGTCACTTTTGCACCACTGTAAAGTTGCAAAATTCTAAGTCCAACCATAGTTAAGTCAGGGACCATCTATATAAGACCCTGGGGCAGGGGTGGAGTTGGGAAATAAATGAATCACAAAATTTTCTGAATTAAATGAGAATACATAGTAAATAGGAATTTATTTTATGAAAATGTGATAAGAATTTGCTATATTGTTCCAAAAAATAATTAGAATTGAATTTATTGAAGCTCCACATGCACTGCAGCCTTTCAAGAATATATCCACTGTATAACATGAGGCACACCCATACACACTCCAGTCCCAATCAAGACTACCACCCGTGACATTGAGCAGTTTTCACACAGCACTTACCTTAAAACACAAGTGTAGAATCCACTGTCTTGCGCCTCAGCTGAGTGAAACCATATTGAATCTTCCTCTTTGCTCATCCTGACCTCTGAAAAGATGATGGGCTCTTCCAAATCACCTTTGTTTTTGTACCACATCAGCCTGAGCCCAGTGCTCTGGGCCATGCTATAGTTGGTACGAATGTAACTGTAGAAAAGGGCACATTTCACTCGGACTGGTTCACCTGCCAAAGCCATATATGTCTTGAGATCCACTGACCAGTCAATGCAGCCATCCACTGAAAGAAAACCAGATTGGGCATGAGATACAGTGAGCATTTTTGATAATAATGAGAATAGCAACAATTATTGCCAACACGTACTGAGGACTTGCTATGAGCTAGACACTGAGTCACGTGCTTTACATAGATTACCTCATTCAATCTTCCCAGTGACCCTATGAGATAGATCAATATCCTCCTTAGACCTGGGCAAGCAGGATTCCTGCCCTAGCCCTGTGCCTTTGGGGTATTTCCAGTCCTCTGCAGTAAACTTTGGGTTGACTAGATCTTCCAAGGAGCTCCAGCACTCATGCCTATGGGGTTTTCCTGGGGCCCCACAGATAGATATCAATTCCAGTGGATCACTCCTGCCAGTCACAAGGCATCCGCTTAATAGAATTTTGTGAGATTGGATGGCTACAATGACACTGACATGTTGATTTTTGGCGACTCAAATTGTTTATATAGACAGGAGCCCCACAAAACAAAGATTTCCTTAGGACCCATATAGAGCCTAGGAGCAGCCCTGAGATTGACCCCTTTATTATTCTTACGTTATAGATGAGAAAACTGAGACTCAGAAAAGTTCAGCAACTTTGCCTATGGACACAGAGCTAATTAGTGGTGGAAAACCATTCTCTGATTCCCGAGACTCTGTTCTTAACCACTATCCTATACTGCCTCTGCCTGTAATTGTGACAGGAACCATTGTTTTATTTATTTGCCTTTGAGAAAGTAGATGCCTGGGTTGGAAGCAGTGGATACCTAAAATGATTATTTGCCATTATCTACATGCCAGTTTTCCATGGTATGACCTACTAATAGCAGATATTTAATCACACTTCAGTTTCTTTTTATACCCTTAGATCTCCCTTGCTACTCAGCTGGTGTGCGCTCATGGGAATATATTATATTAATGTCAAGTTTAATCAAATAATATTAGGTGGGTAAATCTACCATTAAAGAAAGACATATACAATAAATTCTCTCTTTTCCAGAAGGGTTGGAAATGAGACACTGTGGCTAATTTTATATGCTAATCAATACAATTAGCATAGTTATTCTACCTCCAATTGCTGATTTTCAAAGAGTTTCATCAAATTGTGCTACATTATATTACTTGATTACCCTTTATAAAATAATCCTTTCATAAACTGTATAAACACTGTCATTTTAAAATTATATGTTTCGCTTATCATTTTGTGAACTGATCTGCTTCCTTTTTTAGATGTTGAGAACTCTGCAACCCAGTGTGTTTATCTTTTAACCTCAGTTGACAGGAAGCTCAGAGCTAAATGCAATGCTCAAGTGAAATAACTATCTTACCTCAGGATTTTGCTTTCTCTACATAAGGGGTTCTTGACCTGGGGTTCAAGGACACCCAGGAGCAGAGTGCCTGGATAGACTTCAAGGTTGTGCCTATTTGCATAGCTATACTTTTCTGAAGAGATGTTCCACAGCTCTTTATCAGATCTTCAAAGGGGTCTATGGCCCAAGAAAGTTTCTGAACTCTGTGGTTTCTGATGTCTCTTTGTGACTTCATTTTTCACTGCCTTGCTGCATATGAGCTTTTATTATAAGTTGCCTCAAATCCTCTTATAGTATGTGAAGTATTCATTAGAAATAAATCAATAACCAAATAAATAACTCATCCTAAATTTATAATGAAGGGCATATGAACTTTGAGTACTCACAGGGCACCAGATTCATCACTATGAATTTTGATGACCATTGTGCACTGCTGAAGTCAAGAAGGTACAACTGAATTGGACTAAGTACGTACTGATCTCTGGCTATCTCTTGGGGGGCTTTTTAATTCACTCCCAAGTATCAATTGTTTACCTGTCATTTGTCTTTCTCACAACTGTCAAGAACAGAGAGGGGGAAATCTGCATTCGTTAAACTTTCTGGGTCATGGTAAATTACTGATGATACATCTCTGTATTAAATGCAATTTTAATATTTATTGTTTTATCATCATTAAATTAATTGTATATTATTCCTTTTTAAGGATTATTTGTGACACTGTTCCCATGAATTAACACAACTGAGAGGAAACTGTTTATTTAGAGAATATATTTTTTCTCATAGCTTTATTTTAAAAGTTGGTTAATAGAAAATATGGGGATAAATTTTTTTTAAACTCCTTAATATTCCAGTTTTTGTTTTCTCCTAACCCTAAGATGCACAGCCAGTGTTTCTGAATTAACAAATTTGTCTTGGTGAAGTAGTTTCAAATCTCTATAACTACCTACTTGTTAGAAAAAACAATCTGGAATTTTTTTTCATTTGCACCCTAAGTCCCTTTAGTTACTTCCTCTAAACAATCTGTTGCATAATCTACACCTGTACAAAGTTTAACAGGCTGGTTTGTCCCATTAGTGATAGGACATGGCTGGTATCGAAAATAATCAAAAATCTGCTCCTGGGACACAACCATCATGTTCAAAGGCAGTTGAAGACATTTAACTGCCATTACAACTAGCTTTGTCATACGGACCTTGCGAGTACACTGAGAATTCATTTCCTTCTAAGTACTAGCTGAACAAAATGTATTTGACTTAATAAATTTATGGTTCCTTTTCTTCTGTTCCCTTGCTTTAGGTAGCAGAGAGGGAGTCTTTAGTTATAAAGTAGTCAATAGACAGAGAATAGATATTCAATAATAAGGACAACAATTTCCAAATGTTATTCCTTTATTCTTTTCTCTTAGTATAGTCATACCTCAGTATCTGCAGGGGATTGGTTTCAGGAGCCCCATGGATATTAACACCTGTGAATGCTCAAGTCCCTTATATAAAATGACATACTTTAAATCATCCCTAGATTACTTATAATAGCTAATACAATGTAAATGTGATGTAGTTGTAAATGCAATGTAAAAGTTGCCAGTGTGCAGCAAATTCAAGTTTTTCTTTTTGGAACTTTCTGCAAATTTAAAAAATATTTTCCATCCACAGTTGGTTGAATCCAAGGATGTAGAACCTGCAAATATGGGCAGGGTTGGGGGCAACTGTACTAACAATACAGGTTACAATATAACGTATCTCAAGAGACCTCAGGCAATTTTCCCAAAAAAAGTAGAGAGAGTGTATGATACCAGGGATCCACGAAGGCCCATCTGACACCAAATATTTTCCCATGTTGAACTTTACTCATGGGAAATCCATTCCCATGAGTAAAGGCCTTGTAGCCTTATATCTAGAGAGTATAGGACCACTACTAGATTCCAGCAAGGTGGTATGATTTGTTTTTAATGGATTGCTATTCCTAGGAAAACCAACAGAGAGAGGGGCAAGATGGGATAAAATACTACAATGTGGTGCATTTATCTTTAGACTTGGGACAGATGAAACAACTAAAAAGGGCCTACTGAGGTAAGAGGCCTGGAAACTCAGGTGGCAAGGGAACATGATGGGATTGAAACCTTGAGGTTAAGAGGGAAGGTTAAGAGAAAGCAAAGGGGAAGAAATATGGGAACATATGTATATGTATAACTGATTCACTTTGTTATAAAGCAGAAACTAACACACCATTGTAAAGCAATTATACTCCAATAAAGATGTTAAAAAAAAAAGAGAAAGCATGAGAGGGTCACAAAAAAGCAGGAAGAGGAGAAGGCTCACATAAAACTCAATTTGCCAAGGGCCATTCCAGGGATCAAAGATGGTGCCATCAGAAGTCACCAGTAAAACTCACATTTCTGTCATGAGAAGGAGTTTGTAATACATGCCACACATTCAGAGCCCTATGCACTTTGACACTCCAGATATATTTGGCAAATAGGTGAATGAATAGATCTGTGATGCAGCTGACAAGGGAGCACGCTATGGCCAGGTTGGGGACATAGTGGAACTGAGTAGCCCACAGAGGAAGCCCACTTGCAAGCTTGACCTTATCAGCAAGGCCTCTCATTCACAGAGGGATCCAGCCCTATTCTGTTCACAACTCTAGGCGCACCTGTGTAGGTTTGCCCCTGAAAGACTCCTAAGAAAAGTGGTTTCTGGACAGATTGGCTTCTCCCACAGGTGGTTTGATAACGTTTCACTAACCAGCCACAAGTGTAAATAGAGGCACTGTAAGAAGGAAAATGGTTTTCCCCCCAAAAAACAGCAACATTCTGCAGTTGGATTGAAATTTGCTACAGAACAAACCCATCAAAAGCATCAGTGAATGCATGCCTGTCCTCTGCTTCACAATTTCTCAGTATGGCTATAAATATTCCCATCATTCCATTAAAAAATACCTATTTCTAAATTATCCATTCCCTGTTCACTCTTGAGTCTTGTTATGAACAGTAATTCAAGTATTTAAAGAACAATTGTGTTTCTCTAGATGCTCATCTCTGTTCCCTTGATTTAGGTTTCTGTAAGGCTTAAAAATTATTACTCTTAGTTTGGTCTTGTTGGTAGAAATGCTTTGATATCTGAGCTATACAAAACAATTACAATGCAGCAAAGAAAGCCACTCTTTAAAACATAGGTCTCTATTTTAATCATTTTCATTTCAAACTGCAAAACAAGTGTATGCTTAAGGAGTTTGACATGAAGATTCAAAAAAAAAAAAGGAGCATATGAAACATATAAAGGGACATGCCAATGTCCACGCAATTTATTTTACCAAGAGGAGATTCCTAGGGGTAGAACTAATGCAGTATCCTGGAAAGTGCCCTGGGTGACCAAAGCAAACCTATTTAGCCTGCTTATAGACAAGCCTCGGCTTCCTCCTCAATGCATCTGGAAAAGCAAATCCTGTCACACCTACCTGCTGTGAAAACAAAGTCCTGAGAAAAGTTTTTAATCCCTAGAAGAGGATAAGATGTTATTATCAACAACAACAATTATATTATTTTAGAAAAAAAGAATACTGCATGCAGTAAAATTACAAGCTCTAATGGCTATGTACATTACAGTTCTTATTGGGGGATAGGATATATAGGTATGCATAGGATTGCCAATTTTGGATTTTTGCCCCAAACTGGGAATCTCTTTAGGTAAAATGGCTAATTAGCATATGAAAATATGCAATCTCCAGATATCTTGATAATGTTCACTACAA